CTCAGACCCTTTTTAAACCCTTTGGAGACTCCTGAAGTACAGCATGGACATGCCCATGCAGGAAGCGGTGGTCTTATTGGGGGTTCAGGGTAGGAGATGCCAACCTAAAATGATTTTACACCCTGCTGGCTCTCACTCCTCCCTGTTGTGTTAACGCCCATCGTGCATGTGATGGGGCATCTACCTGGGAGGACTACCAGGGTAAGGGCAATCATATGCCACTAACTGGCGATGATCTTGTGAGGGAACAGCTTGGGAGCCTGGACATCCACAAGTCAGCTGGTCCAGATGGAATGTATCCTAGAATGCTAAAACCCCCATCATACTTATAGGCTCGGCAGTGCTATGACTGAAAGAGACTTTGGGGTCATGATTGACCACAAAATGAACATGTCACCAATGCGATGCCACAGCCAGCAAAGCAAACAAAACTCTGGCTTGTGTCTACCGATGCATGTCAAGCAAGACCCAAGAAGTCATCCTTCCGCTTTACTCAGCCTTGGTGAGGCTGCAGCTGGAGTACTGCATCCAGTTCTGGGCTCCGCACTTTAGAAAGGATGTGGAGAAGCTTGGGAGAGTCCAGAGGAGAGCCACACACATGATAAGAGGTCAGGAAAACAGGCCTTATGAAGAGAAGCTGAGAGGCATAGGACTCTTCAGCCTGGAGAAGCAAAGGCTCAGGGGTGGTTTGATGGCAGCCTATTCTAATATTATATAAAAGCCTTAGTCTATCTGTCTGTCTGCCCTTAATGCTTTTTTCACACTCTGATTGGCTGACTAAAACAACCAATCAGAGTACTCCAAGAGCGTTCTGCCAGGAGCCGGTGTGGACATCGGGGATAGAGTGGGGGGGAGGGCAGCACAGCTGGCCTGGTCCCACCCCCACTGCAGGCAGTGGCAGCGGAGGAGGGTGGGGAGAGCAGGCCTGGCCCCAAAGCAGTGGGTGGGTAGGGTGGGGGTACAGGCCCGTTCCCTCCCTCCCCCGACTGGCCGAGAAACAGGGCAAGGCCAGACGCAGAGCTCCGTCCCTGTGCCCACCCCGCCCCCTATGATGGTGGCTGGCCGTGAAGGCAGAGGGTGGGAGGATCGGGCCCGTTCCCCCCTCCCCCGACCTACTGAGAGCAGGGTGTGGGGCCGGACACAGGGCTCCATCCCCACGCATCCGCCCACCCATGATGGTGGCCGGCCTCAAAGGGGAGGGTGGGGGGTTCGGGCCTGTTCCCCCCCTCCCCTGACCAGCTGAAAAGCAGGAGCGGGGCCAGACATGAAGCTCTGTCCCTGCATGCCCCTCCACCATGATGGTGTCCAGCTGTGAAGGGGGAGGGTGAGAGGAGCTGAAAAGTGGCAGCACAGAGCATTGGGTGATGGCACTCCGTCCCTGTCCCCCACCCCATCGTTCTTGATGGGCAGCTGCCTAGCAAGTACGTAAGGGGTGGGCATCAGGAACCGGGAGAACATCTGTTCACCAGGTCACCCCAAGAGAAGACAAGGTCTAATGGTCAGAAACTGCTGGAAAACTGTTTTAGACTGGACATAAGGACAAACTTCTTTACCGTCTGAGTCTTCAGAGTCTGGAATAGACTCCCCCCAGAAGTGGTGTAAGCACCCTAGCTGACTTCCTTCCCTTTAGGCAGGGCGCTGGACCCAACGATCTCACGAGGTCCCTTCCAGCCCTAATGTCTAAATGTCTATGTCATGCAGGCAGGGCTTACAGCTCAGCCAATGTGTACTGTAGACCAATCGCTAATTCCCATAGCACGGGGGCAGGCAAAATTTGTCCCACAGGCTGAATTGTGCCTATGGTGGACTCCGTTTCCCAGCATCCCCTGCCAGTGTTGCTGCTGTTGGTTTCCATGGAGACCCCAGGAGTGGTGGCATTGTGACAGCATGGGGCCATGGTTTCCATGGAGACCGGCCCCAGCAGCCCTGGCAAGGCGTGCTGCTGGGTAGGGAGCTGGTCTGGGGCTGGCATCTTGCAGCGGTGTCAGTGTGGTTCGGAGCTGGGACAGAGCTGCAATCTGCTGCCTGCATGCCCTGAGCAAGGTAGTGCACCACACAAGATCCCAGCCCTAGCCCCGGAGCAGCTCTCAGCCCTGCAGCACCCAGGGTGCTGCTGGGGCTGGTCTCCATGGAAACTCTGGCCCTGTTCTGTCATGGTGCTGCCACTCCTGGGGTCTCCATGGAAACCAGCCACAGCAACATGGGCAGGGGCTGCTGGGAAATGGGGTTTGGCTACTGGCTGGGTCCCCCATTTTGCCCCCCCCTGCCATAGCATCACCCTCTGAAGGCAAAAAGCTTGCCATGCAATGAGAGCACAGCTGTGGTTAGAGCATAGGGTGTTATCCTGTGGCTTGTGGCTGTGTAAAACCCCTGATGCAAAAATGCCTCTGCCCTTGTGAAATTAACCCTTCAGGCATTTGTTTGGTTGGAAAGAAAGAAAGCATGGTGTTCTTCAGGTTGTAGTTTTGGTCAGTCAGTAAGTAGGGCCCTCTTTTTGTACAAGTGAGGATTTGGTCAGTGCCATAATGTAGAAATGGGTGTGCCTTTGGAAAGGATGCCAAAGCAAGTGTGGGAACTCCATTCAGCTTCCTTCTGTTCCCCCTGTTGTTTCAGGGGGCTATGTCATTTCTTTTCACTTCCACCCTGGGTATCTTGTGCAGGCTGTGTGGCATATAGCTCTTTGGGCCTAGTACTTGAATGGGTTCATATCCCTTAACAATATAAATACTACCATTATCATAGGTGCTCTTGTGTTCTCTTGGCCCTGGTCTATCCTCTACCTGTAGCTGAATCTAGGAACCAATTTATGGCACAGTTGTACCCTTACCTGGTTACTGTGCCTCAAGATATGGGGAAATGTGGCTATGTGTAGAGAAGACATAAACTGAAACCTTGGCCATACAGAACATGGATGTTTTTTGGTGTCTGTTGAAGGATCTGGAGGACAGATGCATAGGTGACACAGGATGGCAATGCCTGTGGTAAGCTATGTATCTTTAGTAAAAAGCAGCAAGTTGGATGCTGTGTTGTCTAGAGGCTGGGACAGGGGGCTAGAACAACGACTGACCTTATGGGCACATCCAAATGAGCATGCACATGCGCTTTGTGGTGCCTCAAACACTTTTGGGGTGATGCAAAATGTATGCAGTGCATCTGAAAGGGTTGTCCACGCTGCACATTTGTAGGGTGAAAGCAAAATTAGATACTGGGAACTAATTGGTATCTAAAAAAATGCAGCAAAAAAAAGTGGGGCGGTGCACATGGCTGCAGTGTGTGCCACCCAAAACTGGAGCCTGACCGGCCAGAGTTACACTCCAGGTACCCAGATCACTGCTGCTGCAGCCCTGGGAGGCCCCCGGGACCCAAGGTAAGGCTGCTGGGACCAGCCCAGTACTGACTGCAGCCTCTCCTGCCCTACCTGGAGCAATCTGCCACATGCCAGAGGTATACGTGCAGGAGCATGTTCAGGGTTGAGTAGCAGTGGCACAAATATGTGCCACTGCAATTTTTTTCCCAGGGAAACGCATGTTCCTGCTTGTGGGGACATGCCCTATGTGTTCATCTCATGGCTCTGACACCAACTTGCATTTAGTCCAGAATTTTAAAATGTGGTCTCTGACATGGGCTACCCTAAAACCAGGTTCTCAATGGTTTCAAGTACCTCTAACTGAAGTCACTGGATACTGTGGAGACACAGTACCTCCGATAATCTTATATACAAGGCTTTAAGTCAGGCATGAAGAACTGAGGTCTCCCAAACCTGAAACTGGTTAGGAAATGGGCTCTAATCTCCCTGTACCTCCAAATCCATATTTCTAGTATTAGGGATCATGCAGTCAGGGGGGACCTGTTTGATCATTTAGACAGGCCTTCTGCATAGCAGAGGCCACAGAACTTTCCTGAACTCATTTCTGTTTGATCTAGAACATATTTGTCAGAAGAACATCTAGTCTTAATTTAAATGCTTCCAGAGATGAAGGATTTGCCCTGTCCTTGGTGAATTGTTTCAGCAGTTAACTGCCCTCAATGTTAAAAACATGTGCCTTATTTCTAGTTTGAAGTTGTCAAGTTCCAGCTCATACTGTTGAACCTCATAAAAGAAGGATCACGACATAGGCTGACCTCAGGGTGGGGATGAGGGGATTAGTTAGTGACTGTTAGTAAAGGTCTTTGAAGTACGACATGCTAGATTAGTCCTAAAAACCGTCTGTGAAATCCATTGGTAGCCCTCTGGTTCTTGTTTCCTATGGGTCATGTTGTTTTGGAAGGGGATGGGAGTCTTTAAAAACAATAAGAAAGGATATTCAGAGCACATAAAGGAATTGGAAGGAACCAGTGAAGTTGGATGCCTGACTCCCTGAGATATTTTTTGAAAACCCTGCTCTGCAGCAATATATACAGTAAAAGCTTTATTATCCCGCATGAGTGGGGTAAGGGAAGTGCCGGTTATCTAAAAATTCTGGTTATCTGGGAGTTATACCTTGCACAGCCAGGTTCACAGCTGGCCCAGCAGGCAGGTAAGTTTCTTTTTATCTACTTTCTTTTATCTGTGCACGGGCAAGGGTGGGCTACAGTTGCAGGCTAGGCTCTGCTCCCTGCCTCTGCGCCTCAGTGGCACTGCTTCAAAAGCGGTGCGATGTGGCACAGTGCGGTGCCAAGTGCATCCCGCCACTGGGTGGGCCGGACAGCAAGGTGGGCCAGTCCCAGCACTATTGCCGCCTGCTTGCAGCTCAGCCTCCCCCGCCAGGAAGAGCTCGGCACTGCTCCGCCCCAGTCCGCAGCAGCAGCCTGCCCTGCCCCACGCAGATCTATTAAATTCTGGTTAATAAAGTATTCCGGTTAGTAAAGTGCCAGTTAACACAGTTTTTACTGTAGCTGTTTTCCCTCATTTCTCCTTTCTCTGTCTTCTATTGGCCTTTCCTTCCTACTCCATCTGCTGTTCTCCCAGCTCTGTGTCACCCCCCTGCTTTCTCTTGCTTCTTCTTCCCCTAGATTGGAACATGGCAAAAGACCCCAAGCCAAGCCGAGCCAGGCCTGGGCAGAAGAGGCAGCATGGCAGCACCTTCTACCAGTGAGTCTGCATTGCATGTTATGCTTCGTTGGAGTGGAGGAAGGGGAAGGGACCAGGGGCAGGCTGTGTTCTGGGGGGAGCTCATTCTGGGCCTGAAGCTTATCATGAGTAGTGTCAAATGAGCCTCACAAAGTCTGGAGGCTCAGTCCAGGTAAGACCACTCTCCCAAAAGACTCTCCCTTCCCTCCATAGTCTTCCTCTTGTTGTTCACCAGGCCAGATCGTGCCCCAACCTTCAGATCCTCCCGTTATAGTGTCCCAGACCCCTTGCCAACCTACCACTTCACACCTTGGCCCTTAGCTTGTAGAGTGTTCAGGTTCGGCACTCTGTGCTGGACCCCTGATGATGTCTCTGCTCAAGCCACATGAAAGCAGAAGTCCCAGGTGAATGGATACTGCCATAGCTTTCAGCATGGCTAAGCCTGCTGCTGAGGTGACTCAGCTTCATTTTGTTTTAAACCTCATACCCATGCTTCTCTGCATCCATCTCTATTGGTCCTGCCCCTCTAGTGGGCAGAGGATCCAAGTAATAAAGGACCTGTAAGAGATGAGCCTGTTTCTTTTGGGCACTCTTGCATTTATGTCCCAGTCATCTTCACATGTTGCTTTCCATAGTGGTCCCAAAACTGTTGGCTCATTGACTCAGTAGCTCTGAAGATTAATTTGTATTGTAAATAATGTAGTGAAACGCAGGCTTCAGCCTTTAACTAATTCCCTAGAGATATTTGTCCCTCTCAGGAAACCATCCCAGGTAGAACTGAGGAATATGCAAGAATTCCCTCACAGTGGTATGCACTATATGGAGGAGAGCGTAGTAGAGCCTTTGCCTTATGCCTCCATCCCCTTGGGGCTGAGGGTGAAGGGATCTCACTTCCATTTCAACATCCAGCTGGGTGCGGCAATTACTGCTCATTTTCACAGCCCCTGGGGGAGAAGAAGCTTCTGAGACCAGGTGCACTTCTAAACTATCTCAAGAACATTTTATAGATCTAGAGGTCTCTAAATCCAAAGCATTTCCAGATTGCTCTAGACTGCATTCTCAGTCATCTTGAACTTCTGTCTTCAGATGACAAGTGATACAGTGGTAATTTTGTGGTTCCAGAGCTCCAGAGGTTTGCCCATGCCTACCTAGAACTGTATTAATCTGCAGGTAAGGAAAAGGAGCTTTGAATCATCTCAAAGGCCCAGCCTTGCTGACCAGCCATTGGCTCCTGTGTTGGCTAGGCTGCCAGACACATCTGCTTGTACCTGGGGCAGTGTCTCCTGCTGTAATGGAGTTTCTTTCCACTGAGGGGCAGAGCGTGTTGAGACTGCTTCTTCCCCCTGCTTACACATGGGTCCTTACTAAAGGTCAAGCCTGAAACTCTAGATCTCTTGCCAAGATGGTGGAGCTTCCTGGGTCTGCACCCAGGCTTTTCTCTGCATGTATCAGCCCTTCTGTATATAATAGGACTGAACCAGAATTCAACCTCCCTGAAGAGAGGGTAAATTTGGGCCTGGAGCCCATTTCTGCTTATTGTTTGCCAGCCCAGCATGCACACATTAGCATGGAAGCAGCATAGCAGAGTGCCTGGCGCTGGGGCAGATGTACAGGCCTTGCCTTTTGCAGGCCTAATTGTTAAGCGGAGCAGTAATGGAACACAGCCTGGCTCTGCTCCCTGCAGGGAGAGAGGCAGGATGGGCAGCCACTGAACTTGTCAATTAAACTGCAACAAGTCAGCTCTTTCTCCTGGGCACTGACCTGGGATCACAGGCAGGGCAGTCTGAGGAGTGGGAAGAGACACTGCCAACTGGAGCTCATTCAGGGCTCCAACTTGTTAGAAAGCTCCTGTGCATAATCTGGTAGAACTAATTTGCTCTGTTTGTTACCATGGGGATGGTGCAAGAGAGTGCTGGGGAGGAGGCAGAGAAGGCATTGTAAGGAAGAGGACATTTCTGGCCACACAGGTACCACTTCTGCTGTTTTCTCTCCCTGGTGCACAGTTCAGTGCTGAGCAGGCTGCCTCTGAGCACTCACCCATAAGGACACAGCACTTCTCATTCCAAGCTCTCTACAGAGGGAGACAGGTTCCTTTGTTCCTGATACAGTTCGTAAAGTGGAGCCACAGCAAAGCAAAGTGACTTGCCCAAGATCACAGAGCTGGTCAGTAGCAAGGCCAGTTGTTGACCTCAGGTCTCATAAGTCCCAGACACACGTTCTGTTCATTAGATCTCACTAACACCTCTTGGTTCACACAGCTTTTGTGGTCCCAGGACTCAGGCAGCC